AAGAATCACACAGGACACTCGGATCCTTCTGCAGGAAAGCTTTAATGCATCTTGAGAGAGGAGAGCATAAGCTTACCAGAGCGGAGACCCTGAGCCAAGAATCCCATCCCCTAATAAAGGCTGGCAGCAGCCGCCTGGGACGTGTCACCCTATGAATGGCTTCAGCTCCTCAGGCCATATGAGCCACGGGATAGGCAGAGATCAAAGAAATGGATAATTACCCAGCGCCTGTGAAATAATTTACATTCAGTGCCTGCAGGCACCATCATTGTAATGGAGAATGCAGGGACGGCTCCCTACAGGTTTGCACTCAGTTTTCTGGTACAGGGTGGCTGTGTATTACCAGAACAACAGGAAAATATATACAGTTTTGTTTTTTCAGTATTCCATAGAAAGCTATGATTTTAGGGGTTGTGGACGTCTGTGAGTTCTATCCTGCCAGCCTCAGAAAAAAGTCTTCTGCAGCAGTTGCCTTGCAGTGTAGTATAATCCCATGCTCTTTGGGTGTGTGGTAAAAAGCGTTTGTTTCTGATTTAGAGACATTTTGATTCATACAGACTGTTTCACTAAAGCTTATTGAGTTAATGTAGCATTTATTTCTTGGGTGGAATTTGGAAACAAATCTACCTTTCTGATAGGGATGGCTTCTAAAATAGTGAAGAAAGCTTTACTGTGCAGTAGAAGTTGACGTTACCATTTTTACATTGTTTTGTGCCTGCGATTCTGAGATGTGCTTTTAAAAAAAAGTACATTTGTCTTTTAATACTTGTTGGATTCTTTCACAGTAACAGTATTTGTGTCTTAGGTTCTAGACAAAACCTTGTCAGTGAATGACACTGCGTCCATGGCGGGCTTACTAGAAGTCATTGTGATCCTTTGGAAGAGTATCCACCGAAGTCTGGAAAACAATAAAGAGGCCAAAGGTTATACCATTAACAAGTTTGCATCTGTGCTTCCAGAGTACCTGAAGGTGTTCAAGGTGAGTCTGGGCCATTCTCACCAGTAAAGTGCCTTGTGATGACATCGGTTTCCTCTGCAATGGAAGTTCTGTCTCGTGTGCACACAGGAAGGGTGTCATGAGGTTAGCACCTCTCCCTCTGCTGTGTATCTTTAGTACCCATGGGACTGTCCACGTTGAGCCCTTAGCTTTTCTTTCTGATGTTGGAGATCTAATCTGATGTTGCAGTTTTAGGAAGAGGATTCAGTTCTGTGAACAGAATATTCCATCTTGTAGGCTCTATCTAAGGTGTTTGAGGGCACACGGGAAGCAGATCACCCTGTAGTGTGAATTGTGTCTGTCTTATTAAGGCAGACAGATCAGATCAGTTTAACCAAGAGGTATTTTTAGGCTCTAGGGAAATAGCTTATTTGGTGAGGTGCCTTCTGCACAGTCTTGGGTACCCAAGTTTGATCCACAGCACCCATTCTTAAGTGGGGTGTGGCAGTGTGTACCTGTAATCCCAGTGTTGGGAAGACTGAGGCAGGAAGATCAGGGCTTAGTGGACAGTTTTAACTAAATTGGTGAGGTTTAGGTTCAGTAATAGATTCTGTCTCAACAAAAAGGTAAAGAGTGATTGAAGAAGATGCCTGCCAAAAACACATACACATACAACCAAGCTTAATCCACCTTCCATGCCCCCATGTGCTTTTGTAGAACATGCACAAAAAATATTTTTAGCTGGCAGATAAAAGATTTTATGCTTTTTTAGTGTGATGTTTAGGAGTATGTGTAACTTGTGGGGTGGTTAAAATTGAGCTACTAAGTGTGTTGCCTACATATGCATCACACATTATACTCTATTCAGGGCTTTCAGGAATATTTCATTGCTGTTGATCCTTGCCTTCATGTTTACCATAGATACCGGGAGTTAGGGGTCAAGGTGGCCACAATGATTGAACCCAGGTGGATAATACATCTCACTTTAATTTTGTACCTCTTTCTGCTTATTTTGAGGAACTCATCAAGATGGCTCGTTTAGCTAGCCTGCCTGACCTGGGGGTCCCCTTGTCTCTCCTCTCTGAGGACTGGAATTACAGATAGGCTGCCTCTCCCACCCAGAATTTACGTGGGAGTTCTGGCGATTCTTATTCCAGTCTTCAAACTTGAGTAACAAGGACTTTAGCTACTGAAGCCATGTCCCCATCCATTATGTGCTGTTCTTGGTGGATTCTGAGCAGTTAAAATCTGCTCAGCTTACTCTGTCGTACAATCATAGGACTAGTTAAGCAACAGTTAATGGAACTTGGCACACTTTACGCTTTACCTTGCCGTGGTTCTGTTTATTGAATCTTTACTAGCACTCTGCATTCTAGGAGGCGGAAATTGACTGAGTATAGGCACTTCCCTCTGGGTTGTACCAGCTTATAGGTGTAGGATCTGATCAGACGGAGGTTTACTTTGTAGCTGCAAAGCAATGCATTGCCTCTGATAACATGGTCTGGTTCGTCTGGTGTGATATTGTCTGAATGCTCTGTTACCTTAAGAGTCGTGTTCAGCGTGAGAAATTACTCAGCTTTTCCCTTTCACCTGACTTGTTCCACAAGTAAACATCAGTAAACTGTACTGCTGCGCAGTGAAGGTGTAGAGATGTCAGGGTGCTCCCTCCATTCAAGTAATCTCAACCTCAAACCCTAGGGTCACCTTTAGATTTTAGGTCCTCTAGATATTGAAATAACTATTGGAGTACTTTTTGAGCAGCTGTGGAAATAGGTTATCAGGGAAAATGTCCTGTTGTCAAATCCTGTGTTAGCTTTACGTTTCTTTTTGTGTTTGTAGGATGAGCGCTGCAAGATTCCTTTGTTCATGCTGATGTCCTTCTTGCCAGCCTCTGCTGTCCCTGTGTTCAGGTACACTGCCACAAAGCAAGAGTGTCCTCTGGGGTTCGCTGTCACCTACCTACTCTGTGTATCCTGCCTTCCCCTCTGTATGGAGAGATTGTCAGGATGCAATTTCAGTGGGCTCTGAGGTTGTCAAAGAGACCACGAGGAACTCAGCTGTGACTTCACCTGATGTCTGGGCATGATCTCCATATCCAGAGTGGCAAGCTCTAGAGCCCGGGGTCACTGCCGACCATACAGGGCTCCAAATGCTTAGACTGAAATGAGCTGCTGGGATCCATTTCTCTGATTCTCTTTACACCATTTGTAGTTGGCACACAACCTTTTATGTGGCTGATGAGCAAATAGACGTTTGTGTATATGGCTATCACGCCTTTGGTCACTGAGCTTCTATTAATGTACTAATTCAAAAAGTATGAGTATGTCTTCTGTGAATGTGTGTCTGTGAGTGTGTGCGTGAATGTGAGTATGTGTGCCTGTGAGTGTGTGAGTGTGTGCGCATGCCTGAGTATATGTTCTCCGTGTGTTTGCAGGAGTCTGAGGAAGTCAGAATTGGAGGTGCTTGTGATTGTGAATCACCATGTGGGTGCTAGGAACTGAATTTGAGTCCCGTACAAGAGCAGCAAATGCTTTTAACCACCAAGCCATCTCTCTCTTCTTTTTTATTACGCAGTGGAGTTCTGCTTAAGACTAAAACTTACTTGGTTTTATTTACACTCAAAAGAAAAAAATGTTTTTTTTTTTTTTAAATATGCTTTGTTTGTATGCGTGTTTGTGTACACACATGCACCACAGAGTGTGTAGACGCCAGAGTACAGCCTTTGAGAGTTAGTTCTCTTTGTGGATTCTGGGAATCAAGCTCAAGTTGTCAAGCTTGGTGGCAAACACCCTTATAGTGGGAAATTACCAATACGGAGTCAGGTAGAAATATAAGGGTATTTAATAGGGAAAAGCCTTACTTACAGAGCGACCTAGCCAGCCGGTAGGTCAACAGTCTGTACCGCAAGTACCAAAGAGAAACCGAAACCGCAAACGCATACGTCACTCTGACCACGCCCTCACAAGCCTGGTCAGGCACACCTGTAGCCAGCCCCTAAGAAGGCATGGCTACAGCTTCCCCTACACACCCTTATCTGCTGAGCTAGTTTGCCAGCCTCCAAAGTGAATGTTTTGTGGCATAACAAAAATTAATGTCGTATTTTTGTCTTTTGTTTGGATATTTGGGTTTCTAATTTTGTGTGTGTGTGTGTGTGTGTGTGTGTGTGTTTATGTATGTGTGTGTTTTTTTGTTTGCTTTTTAGAGAAAGTAAGCAGGTGGAGTTGGGTGGGGAGGATCTGGGGGATGGGGAAAGGGGAGAATGATTGGTATTATATGTTGTATATGTATATATGAAAACAAAAAAGGAAAGTAATTGTGCCCTAAATTAGGACCTTCTCTGACTCTGACAGCTGGCACTAGAAACAGAAGGTGTGGGGCATGTCCTTTTGCAGCTGCATCTGTTAAGGGTTTCATAGGGGAGCAGGTGCCAGTGTTAACTATGAGGCCCGTGTACCCTTCATGAAATCAAATTGTGTCCTGGTTTTCCTTACCTGGTGGGACAGTGGGGGCTTTCTGTAGAGACACTAACCTGGTTCTCTGTACTTGGCTTTTCAGCTGTGGTGTGATTTCTGTTCTGAGGAGTCAGGAGGAGAGTGCCACAGGCAGGAGCTACTGTACCTTGCTGGATTGTCTCTGTTCCTGGGGGCAAGTGGGGCATGTCCTGGAGCTCATTGTCGACTGGCTGCCTACAAGGCCACCTCAGGCCAAGGTGGGTATACAGCCACGCACCTCTCTGCAATGTGGAGAAGAAGGGGCACCTGTAAACCGTACAATGTTCTGAGAACATAAGCTCTAATTGCCTCCTTATCCCACCGCTCTCCTTCAGAGTAATTTGGCCTCTAAACGTAAAGTGCCAATCAGTGACACGTGCCCGGTGAAACCCGAGTTAGCGTTGTTGTACATGGAGTATTTGCTGACCCATCCAAAGAATCGAGAGTGTCTGCTCGCTGCACCCCAGAAGAAACTGAACCAGCTTTTAAAAGCCCTTGAGGGATCCAAGGTAGCTACTAACCTTGTAGGTTAAAATGACTTCAAAGTGTAGTAACAGTGGTGTGGTAAGATGCATAGTTTTCATGCTTTGGTGCTAGGAGGTTTGCAAGCTGGGAAGGAATTGAGAATGAGCAACCAGAAAGACTTTGGGCAGGAGAGTCCGGGAGCAATGCCGTTTCCAGGACCTGTCTCCTCCCAAGCAGTATTTAGAGCCTACATTTCTCCATGGTTTCTAGTGTGTCCGGGTGTCAGTTTGTAGCCCCTTGTCTCGGAATAGGCTGTCAATGAGGAAATGCTAGCTCTCTTCAGAGTCTTCAGCTGTATTTTTAAGAATCTTGGAAAGTGTGTGACATGAATTCACTGTGCCCCAAGTGCCCTTTGGAATCCTGTTCTTCCCCTGCTGCACTGGCCCTGATCTCCTGTGGGATTCTCAGTCAAACTGTCCTCATTGCTGCCACCCAGGAAACAAACCGTGGTCCTCGGGGGCAGTGGTCCTGGGGCCTTGTGTACCTGCTGACTGTGTTGTGTGCTTCTAAAGCTTGCTCGGTCAATAGCATTCAGGTGCAGGGAGAGCTGCCACTGCAGTTACCCTTCTGGCTTGTCTATAGATCAGGCACTTTTCCACCTTGCTTTGCTTTGCTGTGTTCACCCGCCATTCAGAATGTGTCCCCGGGTTGCAATTTTACAGGCAGATCTGGAATCACTTCTTGAGTCTCCAAGTGGGAATCCCCTCAACTTCAACAAAGCAGCTGCCCTGCACGCCTTTGGTCTGTACTGCCGGCTGAGTGTCCACCTTCAGTACACGGTAGGCTGTCACAGCAGTTCTAGTTCTAGCATTGTGAGCATTGTGCGTCAAAGCTGCTTTTGTTCATTTGCGTCTGTGTTGTGTCGGACAGTTCTGCCCAGGAGAGAAGATTCATCTGTCCATCTTGAGCGAAACCGGGTCTTGGTTGGAAAACAAAGTTTTACCTCTTCTTCAAGACCAAGAAGAGGAGTACCTGAAGCTTCGGAGGGACGTCTATCAGCAGGTCATCCAGGTCAGCAGCCGGGACACGGAGCTCGGGCTGTATAGACCCCGGTGCTGCTGTATAATACCAAGAACGGCATTTCTGTTTTGTTTGTTTGTTTGTTTTGGTTTTTTGGTTTTTCGAGATAGGGTTTCTCTGTGTAGCTTTGGAGCCTAGCCTGCCACTTTCTCTGAAGACCAGGCTGCCCCCGACCCCACAGAGACCCCCCTGCCTCTGCCTCTGCCTCCCGAGTGCTGGGATTAAAGGCGTGCACCACCACCGTCTGGCCACATTTCTGTTTTTACAAAGCACATTCTGCATAATTTTAATGTAGCTTTAACATGTTGTATGTGATGGGTATTTAGTTAGATTGGTGGAACTGCATAAAATATCCATAGAGTTCTTATAGAAGCAACGTATGATTTATGGAAATTCCTTTGTAAAACAGTTGGAAACATTTGCTCGTAGTACTAGTATGTCAGAGGAAAGGCTTTGTTGGGCTTGACTGCCTTCCTTTTTAAATGGCTTTTGTTGTTGTTGAACCCATGTTTGCCTTACAGACTTACCTGGCTGTGGGTAAAGACGTTGTCATGGTGGGCCTTGGAGACCCTGAGTTTCAGATCCAGCTTTTACAGCGGAGTCTCGGAATAATGAAAGCAGGTACTCAGCATCTTTTCTCCATTACAGCAGTGTTTGAGAAAGCAGTGCGCACTGACAACTGGTTCATCCTTCCATCCCTCACTCTCTCCCTCTGAAGATCAGAATCTGACTTCCAAGCACTGACGTGTAACACATAGTGGCCTTTGTTTATTGGCTAACACTCCTCACAATCTCAGAGCTGTTTCTCATGCCAGGCACAGTGTCGTCTAGTTTCTGACAGGGTCCTTGGGGTTCTGCTGCCTGGGTCAGACTTTTCCTCCTGACATCTGTGTAGAGACAGTCCCAGAAGAAGGCTGCAGAGTGGTGTGGCCAGCAGGTGGCACACCTGGAACCAGAGCCAGTGAATGCCGTCCTGATGCAGAAGCGCCACAGAGCTGTCACCTCCCAGCTTCCCCGTCCCTGACTTTGATGACAGAGAGGCTGGCAGCAAGTGGGAAAGCATGGAGCAGGAGTTGCAGCTGAGAGCTTACATCATGAGATACAGCAGAGAAAGGGACAGCTCACTGGAAGTGACAGTGGGTTTTGAAACCTCAAAGCCCACCCCCCAGTGACACACCTCCTCCAACAAAACGACACCTTCTAATTATTTCTAAGTATTCAAATATAAAAGTCTATGGGGGCCATTCTCATTCAAACCACCACATAAGTTAATATTAATTATGCCCAGGAAGGGTACTCTTTATAAGCCCAAATGCATATTCTAACAAAGCCATTTCCTAGCACATGGTTGGGTGGCCAACTCTACATAAGCCACAAACTTGTGGTATTCCCACTACAGTACAGTACATAGATCGTTGACAGCCAGGTACCAAACATAACAGGGCTGTGGGAGAAGATTTCTTACTGAAAGATACCAGCCCAATTAAAAAATAAGGTTTTTTTTTTTAAGCTTTATTTATTATGTATACAGTATTCTGCCTTCGTGTATGCATACACACCAGAAGAGGGCACCAGATCTCATTATAGATGGTTGTGAGCCACCATGTGGTTGCTGGGAATTGCACTCAGGACCTCTGGAGGAGTAGCCAGTGCTCTTAAACCTCTGAGCCATCTCTCCAGCCCAAAGGTTGAATTTTTAAAAGTAAAGACTATAGGAAATCTAAGGCTTTGAAAGCAAAAGGCCATTGATACAGAACAATGCAAGACAGCTGGCCTCTAGCATCTCAGAGACCAAGGCTGTCACATAGAGTCAGGAGATGGTGTAGGAGGTCGTGCCACAGCTTACAAGTGAGGCTATCCCCATGTCTTGCTGTCCTTGCTGCAATAGCAAGCCCATTTGTCTGTTGGCAGGTATTTGGCAACCTAAAGATGAGCATACTGGGAAGAGCCATGGAGCCAGTACAACTTCAGTTTCAGATTGATGGCTTGTCTTCTGGCTTTGAGCTGTGTCCTGGGGAGGACTCTTAGCACTGACTATAGATCATCACCGTTTTTGGCTGTAGCTATGAGTGCTGGCCTGTTAGCAGGATGTTACATACAGTGAATGAAATAACTTATGTTTAAAATTTGTAGCTTTCCTCTCCACGGTACTGAGACTACTCACTCTGAGGGACATGTGAGGAGGCGGCTCCTTTGTCTGTATATCAGTCAGGGTTCTCTAGACGAGGAGAAGCTACAGAGTACTCCGTATCTATAAAGGGGATTTATTACAACAGCCTCCAGGCTGTGGTCCAGCTAATCCATCAATGGCTGTCTGCCAATGGAAGGTCCAAGAATCCAGAAGTTGTTCGGTCCACGAGGCTTGCTATCTCAGCTGGCTTCAGTCTGTGCTGGGATCCCGAAGAAGCAGGCTCTAATGCCAGTGGAGGAATGAACTTGCTGGCAAGGCAAGAGCAAGCTGGGAAATAGAGTAAGCTTTGTCCTTATGTAGGCTGCCAGCAGAAGGTGTGGCCCAGACTAAAGGTGGATCTTCCCACCTCAAAACATCCGTCAGATATTAGTGGTGTCCAGGTCTAAAGAGCTTGTCACCTGTCTCACGGGTGGACGTTCCACAGGACAGATGTATATGAGCAATGAGTTCTCCCACACGTAGCTCCTTGAAAGTTTCTGTTGTGGTTTTAGTGATCTTGTGAAGCTGCTTATCGATTCTGGCAGCGTCTTAGACCTAGCGAGGATTCATAGAGAGCATCTGGGATGGGAAATCTGTCTTCCCTTAGCAGGAAAGTTTGGGGTGTAGTTAGCTTTGGTCTCTGGCAGAGCTTGCGGAATCTTCAGTCTAGTTCATTTTGTAGCTGAATGGCTTTGTCCTTCATATCCAGGCCCATTCTCTGGGCCAGTCCGTGTACTTACCAGGATAGTAGGCTGTACGAAGGGCACCATCTCTCTGCTTTCTTGCATGCCTGTTTTACATTAATGTGTCTCCTACCCTGGGTTTGGCCAGACAGCTTTCTGTCTGGTACCCAAAAGTTAAGGGCTACTCAGCACCCAAGCCATCTGTTAGAGTGGGGCAGGGTAACATAGGGTGTCCTTAAGCTTGCTGGGGCATTGCACTGTCTCTACTTTTGTAGCTTTTACTGGCAAGATTGATTAGAAATTAAAAAAAAAAATGGAGGGACAATGTTATTAGGCTTATATACAGAATGAATTTTGACAGATTATGTACCTAGTCAGTGAGGTAATTGAAAACAAACAAACAAAAACCACCAAAAGAAACCAATAAGCTACAACCAAGTATCCGAAATTTATGATGTTACCAAGTGATACTGAGAGATGTGAGGTTGGATTTGTCCTTGATGGGTTTTTACCTAAGTATTAATATAAGAGAAAGTCTGTGTTTTCTAATTTGGGCATTACAGGAGTCATACTGCCAGTTGTCCACATGTAGTGAACAGAGTGCTTTGTTTACTGACAGTCAGCTGTACTGTTGTTACTGGGGAAGAAATCAGTCTTACAGTTATGTGGAGAAAAAAAAAATCAGATTTATATATTTAGCGCTGACTCAGTAGTGACGGCTTCTTCCATTCCTGTCATGTACATGTATTAAGCAATTTCAGCCTATTTATGTGCATAGGTAATTGGTGATTCTCCTTTTCTTTCTAGTGAAGGGATTTTTTTACATTTCACTACTTCTTGGCATTCTGAAGGAGATAGCTGGAAACTCCATGATTCAGAAAACAGATTCAGACGAAGAAGTTGCAGTGCTCTTTGACTCAGTCCAGGAAGTATTCCAGAAGATGTTGGAATGTGTTGCCTGGACCTTCAGGAAGCAGCCAGAAGAAAGCCTACCGGTATAGTCCTTGAGCTGGCTGGGTCTTACTGGGCTCTGTGCTGCAGGTGGTGTGTGGTGGTTGGATGTCAGCCCTAAAGCTAAGCATGCCTGCATTCTTTAGTGGCATGAAGATCCACAGTCTTGAGCTCAGGGATTGAGGTCCCATGAATGTCAGGGCTGTAAATAGAGCTGATCTCTGCAGCCTGTGGTTCCAGGACCTCCCAGAAAGAATATATTTGAGAATATGCTCATTTTCGGAGGGACAGTCACTACCTGGGAGAATGCTAATTCCCATCATCTCCTGACTCCCATCATCTCCTGACTCCCATCATCTCCTGACTCCCATCATCTGCTAACTCCATCATCTGCTAACTCCATCATCTCCTGACTCACTCCATCATCATCTCCTGACTGATGACTCCATCATCTCCTGACTCCATCATCTCCTGACTCCATCATCTCCTAACTCCCATCATCTGCTAACTCCCATCATCTGCTAACTCCATCATCTCCTGACTCACTCCATCATCATCTCCTGACTGACGACTCCATCATCTCCTGACTCCATCATCTCCTGACTCCATCATCTCCTAACTCCCATCATCTGCTAACTCCCATCATCTGCTAACTCCATCATCTCCTGACTCACACTCCATCATCATCTCCTGACTGACGACTCCATCATCTCCTGACTCCATCATCTCCTGACTCCATCATCTCCTGACTCCATCATCTCCTGACTCCATCATCTCCTGACTCCATCATCTCCTGACTCCATCATCTCCTGACTCCCATCATCTCCTAACTCCCATCATCTGCTAACTCCATCATCTCCTAACTCCATCATTTCCTAACTCCATCATCTCCTAACTCCATCATCTGTTGACTCCATCATCTGCTAATGTCCCCATTTAGAAGTACCTTGGAGGGACCATGGTTTTCTGTAGATGGTGGAAAGCTCATAGGCTGAGATGATTGAGGAACTGGATCCTAAAAATCACCATTTTTTCCTAGCTTAACTTAATAGTTGTTTCAATGTCTGTGATGTGTTGATGTAGCTTTTGCCCAGTTTTAGAGGAGCCCAGACCCTGTCTTCCAGCTCCATTGAGTTGTGTCATTCAGAAACTGCCCGAACTGATGGCTTTATTTTAATGTTGTCAGTGGCCTGTCTTTCCTTCCTCCATCCCTCCTTACTATTGATACTTCTATTTTCATTTCATTGGTTTTTGTTGTTTTTTGAAACAGCTCAGATAGTCCTTTAACTTGCTGTGCAGCCCAGGCTTGCCTTGTACTCACAGAAATCCACCTGCCTCTGCCACCCAAGGTGTGCGCCTCCATGCCTAGCAGCCCTGTCTGTCTATCTATCTATCTATCTATCTATCTATCTATCTATCTATCTATCTGAGGCAAGAGCTCACTCTGTAACTCAGACTGACTCACCTCAGCCCTCCTTACTTAGCCTGGGGCAGTCTTAGACACAGGTGTGAGCCACTATACCTGGTGCTTGTTTTTAAAAAAACTGAGTCTTATCCATACTGACTGACTAACATGATTTCTTGTAGCTCTTTCATTCTGTCCAGACCCCACTCCATGAATTTGTTAGCACCATCCAGTTGTGGTACAAGGACACCACAGTCCACCACGGCATCCTTTCTACTCTGATTGCTGCACCCGTGGTTGAGATAAGTCACCAGCTTCGGAAGGTGAGGACTGTTGATTCTGAAACTGCCATGGTCCTGACTGTCCCCGACACTGTGTCTACTTATAGTGCGTGGTTAAGTTTTTCCAGTGCAAGCTTCTGGTGAGGACTGTTTGCCAGTTTCAGTACTTTGCCATTCATGTCTAGAGCCGTGTGGCAACTGTGGAGCAGAAGCTAAGGGTATGCTGTTCCTGACTGAGATGGATATGTCTGTGGGCTCTAAGAGTTTTGAGTGAATTGATAGTTTCTCAGGATTCTTTGCTGGGGAAGAAATCAGGGGCAGTTGGGCAAACAGTGCAGGACTGCTCTAGACTGAATTGGGGTACAGTGGGTCATATCTCTGCATGTCTTTTTCTTTTTTCTTCTCATTTCTTAACTATAGGAAGCCTGAATATTTTTTTTGAACTTTAACCTTTATTTATTTTGAAGATTTATTGTTTTAGTTATGTATGCATTGTTCTGCCTGCATGTTTACCTGCATGCCAGAAGAGGGCACCAGATCTCATAACAGATGGTTGTGAGCCACCATGTGGTTGCTGGGAATTGAACTCAGGATTCTGAAGAGCAGCCATTGCTCTTAACCTCTGAGCCATCTCTCCAGCCCAGGAAGCCTGAAGTTTTTAAAGATTCATTTATTATGTATGATCATTTTACTTATGTGTGTCTGTGTACCACATGCATGCTTGGTGCCCACAGAAGCCAGAAGAGGGTGTTGGGTCCTCTATCTCGGGGTACAGCTGGACTTACAGGCTGTCGTCAGCCGCTTTGTGGATTCTGGGGGCTGAACCTGCGTCCCCTAGCAGAGCAGAAAGCTCTCTTAGCAGTCGAGCCATCCCCCTAGCTCCTGAAACTTGAGTTTTGGCATCTTACTTCTCTGTCATTGCCAAAGGTGAATGGAAGACTCTTATTGACACAGACTCAGTCTAATTGGTTCAAGGTTGACGTGATCAGTGTGATCACCTGAGCTAACACAGAAAGTGACACTGTACCGTGGAGAGCGTGGAGGGTGCTCTTCTTCAGCTCCAGGATGACCCATGTGGGCACAGGTAGTGACGTGAGGAGAGGAGTAGCCGTAGGTTTACTGAGAATGAAAAGATGCGCTATCACGGTCATGTACTGCTTAACCCTGGACAGCCTGGGAAAAGAAGGTGCAGGTTCTCACTGTGCCACACCCCGGTTATGCTGACACTGACACCAGCACTCTGGGTATCATGTGGTTGTCAGATACACCGTCCCTTGCTGCCAGAATGTCAGCATGCAGCTGTGTGGTTCATGATCAAATATATATTACTTTGTTTTTATGTGATGAGTGTTTGCCTGTGTGTGTGTGTGTGTGTGTGTGTGTGTGTGTGTGTGTGTGTGTGTGTGTAGGCGTGTGCCCCAGTGTGCCAGGCCTGGTGCCTGTGGATGTCAAAAGTGGGCATTGGATCCCCTGGCACTGGAGTTAACAGATGATTTTTGAGCTCCCAGGTGGGTGCTGGGAGCTGAACCTGGGTCCTCTGCAAGAGAAACAAGTGCTGTTAACCACTGAACCGTTTCTCCAGTCTGAGAAATTAATTACACAAACTTTGCAATATAAAATGACAAAAACTGGGAGGCAGAGGCAGGCCGATCTCTGTGAGTTCGAGGCCAGCCCGGTCTATATAGCTTACACAGAGAAACCCTGTCTTGAAAATTAAAATAAGTAAAGTAAAATGACAAAATGATGTTTATTAAATTCTAAAATATTAATTAGAATTTATGGCTGACCTTCAAATTGTAAAGAGAGATTGTTTGGTTTAAGAAAGTAATTTCTAGGTGATATTCAACATAAACTTAGGATTAGACCTTAACTTCAGAAAGCTGTTTAGCTGAAGTTATGAAGTGTTAGTGGCTTTTGGACACTCCGTGCCACAGCACAGATTGTTCGTGTGTCCTGTCCTACCCTGTGCCTCGCAGTACGCCGAGCAGCTGGAGGATGTGTGTGTCCCTTTCTGTTGTGTTGCTCTGCCTCTTTGCAGAAGAGTGCTGGCGACTGGCCCGTCTTCTCATAGTCTGTGTTCTTCACTACAGATTGTTCTCTTTTTCCCATGCTTCCTGTCAGTTTTCCTTTTGTTGAGTTGCATACACGTTTTGAGATTACTGTTTGCTTTTGATGTCTTATTTATTTCTGACTGTCCTGTTAGGAAATACCTATTTTCCATAGTGCTTCACGAAGTCTATGTTGTTAGCTTTGTAGCCAGCCTGTCTCCCTTAAGCTTCATGTGTGCACAAGGCCTTTGCTTTGAGCTTTTTCTGCTGACCTGTCCTTATAGCTTAGGTGTTGTAACTGTGCCACACAAGTGATTCCAATGTGACAGTGTCTTCCTTTCTTGGGGAGTGCTTATAGTTCATCTGATGTTAAAGTTACTGATGTGCTTGGTCTTAAGACAGGGACTCACACTTTAGCTCATCCTGGCTTGGAACTCATGACAAGCCCCTACCTCAGCCTCCACAGTGCTGAGATCACATGCATGAGCCACCCACCATGCCTGGCTTTTAGTGTTCTATTTTATGTTTTCTGTGGGCTGGATCTTACCCAGTTTCTCTGGAACAGTTGAACAGTTCTCAACCTTCCTAATGCAGCAAGTGACTCTTTAATACAGTTCCTCATGGGTGTTGTCCCCCAACCATGAAATTATTTTCATTAGTGGTTCATAACTGCAGTTTTGCTGCTGTTATAAGTTATAATGCAAATATCTGTTTTCCCAATGGTCTTAGGTGACCCCTCTGAAAGGGTCGTTTGAATCCCCAAAGGGGTAGAGAGCACTGTTGCTTTAGAATAGCATTCCAAGACCGAGAGTCTAATCTTGGCTAAGAGCTGGTTAAATTGGCTTAGCATAAAAGTATATCATTTATAGATGATATCAAGCTATCTAAAGGCCCTTTGACAAAAGGCTTGCTAGGTGATATGTCCTTCGTTATGTTTCACTGAGTAAAATGTTCTTGTGCGAAATAATACCACATTTGTAATTAACTGTAGTGAATCAAGCTTGTTCCTTTGAGTTTCTGGAATGCTTTGGCCAGATAGAAGAGAACCCAGGTCATTGTGAACCAAGCTGTCCCTTCGGTCTATTTATAATGTACTGATGAAACTTTCCTAGGTGTCTAATACAGAAGAGCTGACCACACCACAACGTCTTGCTGACCTTCCTCCATTTTCAAGGTGTTTACTGGGGATAATAATGAAGTCTTCGGATGTGGTCAGGTAATTGTCTTCTGTCTCTGATCTTGGTACAACCTGGTCGTATTTTTTTCTCAGTCAGTGCCTTATGATCTCTGTTACTCTCAGGTTTTCAAAGGTATTTCTACCCCTTGAGAAAAACATTTTCCTGCATTTCATGAGTGATGGAAAGTGCTTATGTTAAACTCTCATAAAGAACCATTACTTTCTATAAACTGTCACATCCATTTAAACAGTTTTCAGCTATGTCTATTGCAACTAAATTCTGCTGGACAGAAAAAAATTTGTGTGTACAAAAACACTTCTTGCCGTGTGCTCTAGTTTTCTTCTTGGTTGCTTTGATAAAACACTAACCAAAATCAAGTTGAGAAGGAAAGGACTCGTTTGGTTTTCAGGTATCATCCATTAAGGAGAAAAGCCAAGGCCATTTAGAAACACTACTTTCTGATTTGTTCCCCGTGACTTGCTCTGCTTGCTCTCCTATATAACCCAGGACCACCTGCCCAAGGGTGGTGCCCCTCACATTGGCTTAGCCCTCCATCCTCAATATTAATCAAGAAAATGCTCACCAGTCAGTCTGATGGAGGTATTTTCCCATTTAAGGTCCTGTCTTCCCATATGACTCTAGTGTGTGTTGACAGAAACTCAATAGCCAAATTGACACATTGGCAGCTTGACATACACACATATCCCTAGCAAACCATGGCCTTTCTTTTCTTGTTTATCCCCAAGATTTCATGTTAACATCATGACATAAAACATGGTATAACTTTGAAAGTCCCATGGTAACGTCAGAAGTTCCGTGGTCCTTAAAAATTTCAACACTTTGAAAGTCCAGTTTCTTTAAAAAAAAAAAAAAAAAAAAAAAAAAAAATTTTTTTTAACCGGGGGCCCCCAGAAAACCAACCAAAACAAAAACAAAATT